ATGCCAGTTTTCAGTTGGTGATTGGTAAAGAAAAGGAGATTAATGTGGCACCAACTTAAACTGCTAGAATATGGAAGCAAAAGTCAGGGTTGAAGAAAAAGGGAACTGGGGCATTTTCCTAGCTAGAGTCCCAGTTCCCTGTTATAGGACAGAGCTACAGAAAAGGGCAGGGAGAGCGATCAAGATCTAATCATCCCATCCAAAACTGCAAAATGGCAGTGATAGCAGAATCCAGAATACAGAGGACAAGACCAAGCAGATTCTGGTTTTATATGAGAAGCAATGGTAGAATTAATTATGCTTTAAGTAATTTTTTTTAAGCAGGGGTAGGAATTGTAATTTTAGACAAGTCAATACAAAAAATTGACATTGTTAAAAGAGATAATGAGGGAAATTTCATTATGCTTAAACACACAATAGATTATAAAATAATACCAATACATGTATGTACGTACATACATACATACACACACAAAATGTTATAGCAGCTGAGTCATTGAAGGAAAAGCAAATCAAAATGCATAAAGAAATAGAAAACATAACTATAATACTTAAGAACCTCAATGTGCCTCCTTTAGAAATGGAAAAACAATCTCTAAATAAAGATAAGAAAGAAATTAAGGAACTATAGAATTTTAGAAAAGACTCTGGCAATTACTTAATGAGAATAAGAAGAAATGTGAATATTTCTTAGGTATGTATGATAACTTTATAAAAATCGACTCTATGCTAGTATATTAAAACCCATAAAGAAATCCAGAGGTTCAAAAATATTAAACACATTTCTCACTGATCATAATGCAATAAAGGTTATAATCACTAAAGGACCTCTGAAGAAAGTATTCAGATTATATGGAGACAAAATAATTTAATTCTAAAGAAATGGTGATTTAAAGGACAAATCATAAAAACAATTGATGATGTCAAAAAAGAAAATTAATCAACAATGAGACATTATATCAAAGATCTTGTTATACAGCCAAATCGGTCTTTAGGGGAAAATTTATATCTCTGAATGCTTTTATTAAGAAAAGAGAAACTAGTCGATGAATCAGTCACACAACTAAAGAAAATATAAAAGACAATAAATTAAAACCCAACTAAAAACAAAATAGAAATTCTGAAGATCAAATAAAAGGCAAATTTGTAAATATAAATAAAATTATTAAAATTATAAATTTAACTATGAGCAATTTTTTGAAAAAATCTACTAAAGAAGAGAAATCCTTAGCTCATATGATAAAAATAGGGAAAAAACCCAAATTGTCACCATTAAAAAATAAAAGGGAAAAAATGCAAAAATATTAAGGGGAAATTATTTAAAACGTTTTTGCCTAATTATATGCCAGCAAAATGGTAATAAGTGATGTGGATGAATATTCACAAAAACATAAACCATACAGATTGTCAGAAGAGAAAGGGAATTTAAATAAAACAATGTCAAAAAACAAAATGGTAAAAATAATGAACTAACTTATTCCACCCCTTTCTTGAGTCCCCAGGACCAGATTTATTTACAGGTGGATTCTATCATTCAAAGAGCAATTAATTCCTATTTCACATAAATTATTTAACAAATTTGGGAAATATGGCATCCTAACAAATTCTTATGAGGGACAAATACCATTCTAGTGCCTAAATCATGGATAGAGAAATCACAGAACAGAGAAAGAAAACTACAAATTAGCATCTCTCATGGAAATTGGTGAAAAAATAATGAATAGAAAACATTAGCAAAGAGGATTCAGCAGCATGTTTAAAAAAACATTGTCCCATACCCTGAAAAGTATCAAAATTTTGGCAGATCCAAAAGTCAATGGATAGATTATGATGGGTATGTCAGGTATAGCATGCTGTAAATGATAAGTGACATAATACATCACTTAAGGCATTAATGTTGGATTAGAAAAGGAGGTAGGCATGTCACATAGCATAGAGATTGACAGACCCAAGTGCAATACCAATACCCATTAGATGCTCAGACACTGAGGAAGGACTCCAGTGTGTTTGGCAGATCTTCTACTGAGAATTTGTAGGATATGAATTATAAGTACCCAGGATGTAACTACGTGGATGGTTTATAATTGTTGAAGACATACCTGTCCTGACAGGAACATGGATCTATTTAAGGGAATCCAGATTTTTAAAATTTCCAGTTTTATTGATGTTTTGTTTTTACATTACATACATTTATAGATTATTTCTACTTCATGAGACATTTCTCACATGAAAGCAAAACTAATAATACAGAGACTTAATGCATCTTTCATATCTATATTATACTCCACCTCTCTATTTAAAAAAAATAATAGAAATCTATTTTCTGTACCTTTTACTCACCTCACCTCATTGGGAAAAAAAAACACACAAAAAAACCCCAAATTTCTTATAACAAATATGTTCCAGAAAAACAAATTCTCTCCATGGTTGTACATACATATGCATATGTTTATATGTGTACTTCTCTTAATGGAGTGGTGGAACACAGAAACGATTGCCCATACTAGAAGACATCATCATTGTGCTACAGTTGTATTTGTTCAAATAGTTTTTTGAATATATGAAAAGATTCCAGCAGGGACATATGGGACTTGTCATCAAGAAGTGACTATGGTATATAAAAGGAGGCAAACTTTTTTTTCAAAAGAAATTATATTGATTTGGTCATATTCCCACATTATTTGATTTTATATTCCTATAGCTACTCATTGAGGAACAACAGTATAATGGATAGACTACTGGGCTTATGGTCAGGAAGAGCTGGGTTCAATTGCTGCCTTTGATACTCCAAGTAACCCTTAGAAAGTCATATGACCTCTTTAAACTTTAGGCGACACTCTGGGACTTACGTTATCTGGTGTGATTTAGAATCTTCCCACTTAGGGATTTTTCTAGCTGCCCTAACTCAGAGAACCTGAGAAATCCTATGGACATACTGTGTGTTTGTCTTCTCTTGTAGCTGTTGTTGTCATTCAATTGTTTCAGTTGTGTCTAACTCTTCATGACCCTGTTGGAGTTTTCTTGGCAAAAATACTGGACTATTTTGTCATTTCCTTCTCCAGCTCATTTTACAGATGGAAAAACTGAGACAAACAAGGTCAAGTGACTTGCCCAGGGTCTCACACAGGCTGTATTTGACCTCACCAAGATGAATCTTCCTGACTTTAGGTCCAACGCTTAATCCACTGTGGCACCTAGGATCTGGGTTCAGCTCCCAGTTCTGCTCCTTGCTACCTATATGAACTCAGGCAGCTCACATCTTACTAGATGTTAGCTTCTTGCCTATAACTATCAGAGGGTTGTCATAGTCAATATCTAAGGTCCACACACACACACACACACACACACACACACACACACACACACACACATATTTTAGGCAATTGGGTTAAAATGACTTGCCCAGGGTCACACAGCTAGGAAGTGTCAAGTGTTTGGTCTGAGGCTGTATTTGAACTCAGGTCCTCCTGACTTTAGGGCCAGTGCTTTATCTACTGCATGACCTAGCTGCCGCTAATTTGTGTATATTTATCAGTACTCTTATTCTGTCTGCATAGTGTCTGCACATTCATCTGTTGAAAGAGCAGAATACTCAACCTGAAGTCCAGAAGACCTGGGTTTGAATCCTACCTTAGACTAATTATATTAATTAGTTTTTAGTTAATTAATTAGTTATTAATTATATTGTTAATTATATTACTCACTTAGCCACTTTGAACCTTGGTTTCCTTATTTGTAAAGTGTAGCACTGCACAGAATTGTTGGGAGGATCAAATGAGGAGATCATGGATGCAAAATGCATTGGGTAATTTTAAGTACTACATCAATTTCCCTCGTTATTACTATTTCCTCATTGTTAAATTCAAAGGTCCATGGAATCTGACACATAATGGGTACTTAATAAATGCATAGTGATTGACTCAAGAACATTAAGCTGATAAAAATTATTTTTCTGCTATATTAACAACCAATTATTAAATTAAGACCCAGGTTTTTCTCCTTTATTTCCTCATTTAGGGCCTGTCCACTGTAGAAAGTCAGTCAATCTCTGAAAGACATGACTGATTGATGAGATTGCCCTAACTGTTGGGGAACAAGCTCCTGGATCTTGGGCCAGACCCCACCCAACTAGGAGACTTTACTTTTGTTTAGAGTATGAACAGAATCCAGTCTAGATGAGTTTTTGTGCCAAGGAGAATAGGCTCTGTCCTTGTATCCCTCCACTAAAATTTAGAATCATCCAGCTCATGAAGGAGAAAACCAACCAGAGTGGTCTAGAGGGAGATGTCTAGATTGCTGGAGGTCGCTGAGTTTCACGATCGAGCCACATTCTCGATAGGAGGAGCTGAAGACTTCTAACTTACCTTCTCATTAAATGTGCACTAATCAGGGTTGATTTCCACTTGTTAGGAGCGTTCTCCTTAAAAAAAAATTCTTAAGGCTTTCAGACTCTCTGTGTTTTTGTCTTTGATTTTCTGAGAGAAACCACTGACCATCAATTTATTGATTATTAGCTAGCCTAATTCAAAAATTAATTATTAATTACCTAGAAACTCTGTCTCTTGCGTTTTTCATTCATCACAAAGCAACTTGGTGTAGTGGCAAATGAACTGGAGTGGGAGGCATAATATCTGAGTTTGAATCCTGACTGTTATTTATTGCCTGTGTGACCTTAGGAAACCACTCTGGGTCTCAGTTTTCTCTACTGTAAAATGGGAAAGGAGTTTGAGTTAGATAGTCATTAAAAGCCTTTTGCTAAGGTTTTCCCCCTTTCCTCCCCTCCCCCAGTCCTCCCTCCATGGAGCATGTGGCAGAGCACTATGTACAAAGAGACAGGCCAGGCTCATTCTTCTATATCTTCTGTGCGAGCTCTCAGCAAGCCTATAACACCATCCCTAAAACTACTGTAAAAGAATACAAAGTCAACAACTAATTCCAAATTCCATCTCTGTATTTTAATTCAAATACAGTTCTATGGTAGTGTGCACCTGTGTGGACATGGCATTGGAGGAGAATTGGATTTTTCTTCACTAATCTTCCATGTGACCTCAAACAAATCACGTTCATGTCAGTGTGTGCCTCTGTTCTTCTGTCCTTTACCCAGGGATAATAATTCTTGTCCTCTTTCTAAGGGGCAGGAAAACCAGAGATTAGTGCTAGAATATTTGTTCAGGCTTTCCAACTGTTTGGAAGAGAGATATCACACAAATACTAAGTGTAATTACTCAGGCAATGATTATCCTGAAGCTTTAGTCACCCAATACAAATCAAATCCTATTTGATTAAGGTAACAACTCAGCAATTGTAGGTGCAGGGATTTTTTGATGCTTGACATATTTTTGCTGATTTAAGCACAATCTTACGATGAAGAAAATAGATTGAAGCTAAAAAAAAAATTAAAAAAAACCCCAAAACCTCATCTCACCAAGTATTCTCTTTTGTATTTACTGAGCTGGAAACTTCATTCCAAGTTGGAAGCACTTTAGAAACAATGCTATTTCATTAATTCTTTCTAAACACTCTATCTCCCATATCTATGTCTTTGCACTAGCTTTCTTCTGTTACTAGAATATTCTGTCTCTGTGCTTCTGCCTCTAGGGATCCCTAATTTCCTTTGAACTCAATTTAAATGCGACTTTCTACATCAAGCCCAACAGCTGCTTTTACCTTACAATGTCTAATAGCAACAAAATAAACTTTTTTTTTCTCAGGCGGTAGGGGCTTCCCTTACATTTTGACACCTACATTGTAAAGTGGGAAGCAATAGAAATCTCTCTGTAGAGTTCAATGGAGAGAAAGCCAACATTTTGTCTATTTGCGTCTTAAATTTTCTTGTGTGACTGTGTCTTATTGGCATTACTTTGTTCAAGTATAAAAAGAGTTCGATTCCCAAAGTGTGACTGTAGGCATATCACAGAGATATTGCTGGTTTGTCTCCAGACTACCACAGTAAAGTGAATATCACAATAAAGTGAGTCAGATAAATTTTTTGGTTCTCCAGTGCGTTGTAGTCCAGGGCTTCTTACACTTTTTCTACTTGCAATCTCTTTTCTAGGTTCAGCAGTATTCATTGGTGTTGCATGGCTTGAGGGCATGCATAGTGCAAAGTGTGCATGCTTTGTGTTCAGAACCAAGACTGCAGTGAAGTTGTGGGATGCAACTCAGGCAACTGCTGCCAGAAGCACTTTCATTATGCGTTTGATTTTTAATTAATTTTTGGTCATTCATCTCCAAAAGACTCATGATGGAAAATGCTATCCACATCCAGAGAAAGAACTATGGAGTCTGAATGCAGATCGAAGCATACTATTTGCTCTTTTTCTTTTCTTCTGTTTTGTTTTGTTTTGTTTTGTTCCTTCTTTCTCGTGCTTCCACTCTGGTTGGTTTTCTCCTTCATGAGCTGGATGATTCTAAATTTTAGTGGAGGGATACAAGGACAGAGGCTGTTCTCCTTGGTACAAAAACTCATCTAGACTGGATTCTGTTCATACTCTAAACAAAAGTAAAGTCTCCTACTTGGGTGGGGTCTGGCCCAAGATCCAGGAGCTTGTTCCCCAATGGTTAGGGCAATCTCATCAATTAGTCATGTCTTTCAGAGATTGATGGACTTTCTATGGTGGACAGGACCTATTGGTTCTAATTCTTCTTTACAACATAACTAATGTGAAAATATGTTTAATAGAAAAGTATATGTAGAGCCTATATCAGATTGCATGCTATCTTGGGGAAAAAGGAGAGGAGGGAGGGAGAGAAAATTTAAAACTCAGAAGCTTATGGAAGTGAATGTTGCAAACTAAAAATAAATAAATTGGTCTTTGCCTGTTCAGAAACCTTTTACTGTTGCCAAATTTTTCACCACCCCATATGGGGTTGTGACCCACAGTTTAAGAAGTGCTGCAGTCTATTAAGTGCGCAATTTTAAAATGTATATACCTTAATTAAAAATACTTTATTGCTGAAAAATGCTATCATCTGAACATACAGCAAGTCATAATCTTTTTTGCTGGTGGAGGGTCTTGCCTTGATGTTGAAAGCTGCTGACTGATCAGAGTGGTGGTTGAGGAAGGTTGGGGTGGCTGTAGCAATTTCATGAAATAAGACAGCAATGAAGTTTGCCACATCGTTGATCATTCCTTTATAGGCCATTATAGAGTCATTAATTAGCCTAATTTCAATATGATTGTGTCTCAGGAAGTAGGGAGGCCCAAGAAGAGGGAGAGAGACAGGGAATGGCTGGTCTGTGGAGCAGTCAGAACACACAGAACATTTATTGATTAAGTTCATCATTTTATACGGGCATGGTTTGTAGTGCTCCCAAACAATTACAATAGTGACATCAAAGATCATTGATTACAGATCACCATAACAGATATAACAACAACAACAACAATAAAAAATTTGAAATATTGTGAGAATTACCAAAATGTGGCACAGCTACACAACATGAGTATATGCTGTTGGAAAAATGGGCCAACAGACTTGTTTGGCACAGAGCTATCATAAACCTTCAAACTGTAAAAAATGCAATATCTACAAAGCACAACAATAAAATGAGGTATGCTTGTATGCCACTATTCATATCATTTTGTATAATCTTATAATGAAAAAAAACCATTTTATACACCGTTATAGTTTGGCAGGGGTTTAGGGTTGGCCACATTCATGAATAGATAAGAAGGACTGGTCTCTCCCACAATCTGCTACCTCATTTGTTATCATATTCTCACCATCCAGACTTCTAAGATAATCCAGGTCTGAGGTTGGATAGTTCCTTATTAATTACTATAATTGCAATATAATTAATTAATTAATTTTGAGCCCCCACCCAACTTCTGAAATATCTTAACAATACCTGGTGATTGGAGTTGTTTAGGTAAAGGAAACTAGCTAATCCCATTCTTACAAACTCACATTTGCATCTATGGAACTGTTGTTCAGTTCATCCTTTCAGGCTTAAGTCTCTAGCTGCTGCTCTTGGCTTCACTCCATAGGTTAGAAGGACTTTGAATTTCCTACAGAATGGGATGATAGGGAAAACAGGTTGCCAGAGGCCATTGTCTCCATGGACCATGGAAGAAAGTTTTTCCTTACTAAGCCACCTCCTCCCTAACACCCCTGACTCATTTCCCCTTCCCTAGGGGAATCTTTGATAGCCTAGTATTTTTTCTTGCATTTGAGAAGTTTTACTAACATCTTTAAATTAAAAATCTCAAGTTCATTTTGATTTCCCAGCTGGCACCACTCCTTCCACCCCAGCAGATTAGAAAGAGGGTTTCTTTTTCTTTTTTTTTTATGTAACTGGCCAAAGACTTTTTCTAAATTGCTCTTAAATAAATGAAATACATATAAACCGTTATTGCATTGGATTATTTTAAGTTTTAGCTTAATACCAATTTTAGAGACTAAATAAACAGCAATGAAAAATATGAATTTTAAAGAAATAGAGATAAGCTTTGGAATGTCTACATATTGTCCTGAGAGAGAGAAGGAAAAAAAAATAGAGGAGAGGGCAGCTTTGGTGGTTCCCAGCAAATAGAGTCCTGAAGTGACTCTGAGGGGTCTGGAATCTTACAAACAATTCTGGCAGAGGTTTTCGCAGCAGCAATGATAGCAGTAGTGTCAAATTCTCAACCCAAGGATTCTCAATCTCTCTCTCTCCCTCTCTGTCTGTCTGTCTGTCTGTCTGTCTCTCTCCTCACTCTTCTCTCTCTGTTTCTATTTCTCTATATCTTTCTGACACTGTCTCTCTGTCTTCTTTTCCTTCTCTCTGTTTCTGTCTTCCTGTCTCTCCCTCTTTCTTCTTTCTCACTGTTTATCTCTCTGTCTCTCTGTGTCTGTCTTTCTTTCTCTAGAGAAGCTAATGAACACCAAGCATGGAGGTAGAGGCAAAAGGGCCAGAAGCAGCCTCTTTGCCTCTTTATACCATCGCAGCTATCATCTTGCTCATTCCTTGCTGCAGCACTACACTAGTGGGATTTCTGGCAACTATAGCTCAACATGGTTGCTTCAGGACTGTGACATCCTTTTCCATTTCCAACAGGTTTGGAAGTATCACATCAATCACAATCTTCTCTCATTTGTCCTAGTAAGATTCAACCCACTGCAGGTAAATTTCCCCCCTAACTAGAAAATGTTCATCTCCAGCATGTAAATCTCATTGAAATTTGAAAGAGTGCTCCATTGTGCTCCATTCTTTATTAGATTATATAAATCTCTCTTTCCATAGGCAATCTCTCTGTCTCTGTCTCTCCCCCTCCCTTCCTTCCCCCCCCATTTTTATTTTTCTCTTTGTAATTTCTATCTATCGCTCTTAGTTCTCACCTCTGGGACAACAACGATGGTAACAACAACAACAACAACAACACTATTACCATTACTGCTGCTGCTGCTACTTCCTCGCAATTTTCCAGCTCTTGAAGCCAAATGCTTTATATGCCCTATCTTGTTTGAGATCCATACAAACCCTACAAGGTAGGTACTATAGCTATCATTATTCCCATTTTACAGATGAGAAAACTGTAGATCAAGAGATTAACTGACTTGCTCATGCTCACACAGCTAGTAAATGTCAGATATAGTCATGGCAGGAAAAACAAAAACAAAAACTAATACCACCAAGGAAACTAGCAACTGATAGACTCAGATATCCACATATTTAACATGTTTCGAAGCATCAAAATTAGGAAAAAAAGAAATAATTATATGGAGTCTATATAAATACAAATAATGAAATCCATACTTAGCAGGAATTTACATTTTAATGGGAAAGATAACAAAGACATATATAAATACATACAGAATAAATATAAGGAGAATTAATAAGAATAAATAACAATAGTTAAATATTTTGGGTAGCTAGGTGGCACAGTGGATAGAGAGTGCTGGCCCTGGAGTCAGGAAGATTCATCTTCCCGAGTTCAAATTTGGCCCAGACACGTACTACCTGGGGATGCCTAAGACATGTAAAGTGTGGACTGCACGTGTCAAATATGTATGTCTACATGGATCGTGTAAATATATAGACTCATGATTCCTGGGAGACACTGATATTCTGAGATATCTGGAATCTTCCCCAGACCTTTCCAAAGCAAACTATAATTCCTGCTTTATTGGGGAACAGAAGAAGGGACCACAAATTTGGCTGCTCTTTCTTTTTGTGAGAGAAGGGTACCAGACTAGAATATCTGTCCCCTGAAAAATGCTGGTGTAGTGGCATGACTGGTTCAAGACAAAAAGCTGCTTCTCTGACCACTGTTTTTCAAGAGGAAGAGATATCCCCAAATATACATGTACTAGTTTGGTCCCTTCCACAAAAGTTTATCAGGAGAGTGAACAGTAGATAAACCCATTTGTTTATGGCAATGGTTTTTAACTCACAACCCATGGATTTGTTATATAGGAAAGTTATATGGATTAATATCAGGAAAACACCCCCGGGATGAATGAACTCTCTCTGGGAATTAGCACAAGTCAATTGAGAAAAGTCCTAATATCATCCAAGGGGAAATTCTCTGAAGTCTCTATAAGGGCTGGCTGGAAATCAAGGGACATTTAAAGGAGCCAGCCTCCTTTACGAGTCTGTGAGAGTCTTTTTCTTTCTCCCTGGAGTCCCGAAGAATCTGGAATCGTGTCTGTATCTCTAAAAGAAATGTGAAGAATTCTCCTTTCCCAGCTCTGCTTCTACCATAGGTGTGCAGTTTCATATCAACATTCTCTCCACCATTTAGGAGTCTCATAAAAACTGCTCTAAGCTTGGCTGGAAACCCAGGTTATAAATACAAACCCAGAATATAAATGACATCTACATGGAAAGGCTCAAAGTAAAAAAAAAAATAGCTCAGGTACAAGGTCAATAAGAATTCCTGAAAGAAAGGAAGCAAGAATTAAAAAAAAATTCTCATAAGTGAAATGAGATCTTGAAAAGAAAGAATTGGAATAGAAATGAGATGTTGAGGGAAAAAAAAAGGATCTGAAAGAGAATTAACAGCTTGGCACAGTGTTACCAAACCTTACCCAAATAACAGACTCCCTAAAAATTAGGAAAAAAACACAAAAGTGAAAAACACCATGAGATCATAGAAAATATAAAAACAACGTCAAGATATAGAAAAATATAAGGAAATATAGGGTATCTCATATAAAAAAACCAATTGGCCTGTGAAATAAGTCAAGGAGGAAAAGAAAATCTAAGAATCATTGGACTACCTGCCATGACCAATAAAGAGCCTGGATACCATATTTCAAGAAATCATGAATGAAGACTTGCTATACCTATTAGAATCAAAGGAAAAAAAGTAAGAATAGAAAGAGTTTGCTGCTTAATTCCTGAGAGAAAAGCCATAATGAAAGCTCCCAGGAATTCCATAGTCAAAATTTGAGTTTCCAGATCAAAGAAAAAAAATACTTTATTGAGGAGCTACATTCAGAATCACATGAACTTTGACAGCTGCCACTGTAAGGAAGGAACATGTAACATGATATTCCAGAAGTCAGAAAATAATGGCTTATAACCAAGAATAACTTACCCAGACAATCTGAGTATAATCAACAGGGTGTGGAGGGAATGGGAACTTCAAGCTCCCGATTCTTGACTGGAGCTTAGGAGAATCTTTGAAATGCAAATGCAGGTGTCAAGATAAATGAAAAAGAATAAGAAACAAATTAGGGAGAACTATACAAGATGATATTTTTATATTTTTAATAAAGGAAGGAGAAATCAGTGTCCCTCCAGAATCTTGTCATCAAGTAGATCTAATTCCCTCATAGAAGGAATTAAACAAGACAAAGTTCATGGAAGTGGTTTTGTTATGTTTTAATGATTTTAAAAGAAAAAAAGGAAAGGAAAAAAGAATACATTGGAGAAAAAAATGAGAGGATAGGAGGTAAACTCAATATCTCATTTAATTAGTGTCTAAAAAGTAAAAGCCTATAAAAAGAAGCTATATATATGTAAATATATGTGTATAAAACTAGGTGTATCATATGTGTACATACATATATATATATATTCCATACATGATGACATATATAGGTATTTGTCCAGTTTAGAACAACAACAACAACAAAAACATAACCTGAATGGATAGTGCTGGGTTGAGGTAAAGTGAAAAATGCCTACTAAATAAGAGTCTCAAAAATTGTATTATATTTCACTGAGGTTTAAGACAAACTTGGCCTATTTCAGAATTTTTCCTTGGGCCAACCCTGAATTCAGGCACCTCTTAACTTCTAGCTTACCTCCTTGTCTCCAGTTCATTTATGTGCTCAAGGAAGGGTTGGTTTTATTGGATCGGATTCATGGTGGGTGTCTATATTTCTCATGAGAAATAAGAAAAGGCAGGAGACTTGGAAGGTACTTGTAAATGTAAATTTTAATGAGTAATACCAGTTGAATTCCTATAAGAGTGCTACATGTGCTACGTGGAGAATGCTAAATTCAAAACCATTAGAGGCTAGCCGAGTCTTTTTTAAAAAAAATTAACATATTTTATTTTTTCCTCAATTACATGTTAAATTTTTAAACTTTTTTTTAAGTTTTGAGTTCTAAATTTTATCCCTCCCTTTTTCTCTCCTTTCTCCCCTCTCTCCCTCCCCTTTCCCTTCCCTTGAAAGGTAAGCTATCAGATATAGGTTATACATATGCAATCATGTAAAACATTTCCATATTAGTCATTTTGTATGAGAAGACTTGAATAAAAGAAAAGAATGAAAGAAAGTGAAAAATGGCATGCTTCAGTCCGTATTCAAACAATATCAGTTAGCCAAGTCTTATAATGACTTGTCTTCCCTCACGTTTCTGGGCACAAGGGACCACAGGAGGGACTGTTAGAGTTGACTCTAACTCCAGCACTCTCTTAGTTCAGGGTCTAGGCTAGGGACAAAATAAGGCACTCACAAGTCATTGAACAGTTAACAAAAGGAGGTTTACTTTTCCTTAACACATCAAGGATATGCAAAAAGGATACTGTGACATACAGCTTTAATGTACTTAACTATTTTATTTTTACTTTATTGTAAGTGCTCTCTCTTGATACGGGGTTAATCTGTAAATGTTTATAATCTAAAAAGAAAACACATTAGTTAAAACCTTAAGAAAGATAGAAAGAAAGAAAGGAAGGAAGGAAGGAAGGAAGGAAGGAAGGAAGGAAGGAAGGAAGGAAGGAAGGAAGGAAGGAAGGAAGAAAAAGAAAAAAATGGGGCAGCTAGATAGAGCACCAGTCATGTTGTCAGGAGGACCTGAGTTCAAATGTGACTCAGACACATAACACTTACTAGCTGTGTGACTCGGGGCGAGTCATTTAAAAAAGGAAAACAAAAGAAAGCTAACCCTCATTTTACCCCAATTGCCTCACCCCCCCCAAAAAAAAAGGAAAAAAGAAAGAAAGCTGATCCCTGTCAGAGGAAGGAAGGTGGAGTTTTCCTGATCCTACCCCAGTTTGGGAATGGGAGGGGGGAGGAAAGAAATCATGTCAAGAGAAGCATGAACCAGTCATGTCCTGGAAGCAACTTTGTCACCTTTAAAGAAAACCTAGTTGCTTTTATAGGAAGGAAGAAGGAGGGGTGGATCTAACCTATGTTGTGGGGAAATGCTGGTAGATAGTAGTTCATCAAATTACCCAGGACAAACAGAATTTTAGGAACCCTCCACTGTCTCTATAGACTCAGAGGGTGGTGTCGATGCTTTTTTTTTTCACTATGAGGTTTCAAGTAATATTTTGTCTGAGAAACTAGTCTTCATCTGCTTTTATTTAAGGTAATAATTTATTCCAATGTTCTTGTTGTCTATTGGTTTATAATCTTTGTCATAGTGGAAGATGCTAAGGGCTGAACTTTTTGTCAATTTTTATTAGGCTGACTAGTATTGCCAGTGTAACTTGGCAGAATTGTGGTTTCTTTCTCTTTATCCTCTCAAAACTAAGAGATGTAAAATGCCATGATGTCAGGGGAAAAAAAAATTGAAATTAGAGGTGGGAAATTTGACACTTACTAACTACACAGTTAGTCATGGAGAAGTCATTCGAGTTTTCAGAACCACAGTTCCCTCACCTATAAAATGGGGACATGACATTTGGTCCATTAACCTAACAGGGTTGAAAGACCAAACACTATGCCCCTGATAGGTAGCAGGGAGACTTATAAGCCTTCAAGAGCTGTATAATGTGAGCTATTTTTTTTTTTGTAATTTGGGGACAGGAAACACAAGAGTTGCACCTGTGGTTCTGTTCGATGGCATTCATTTAGCTACTAATGAATGAGGCCATTAGCACAGGAATATTACGTATTATTAACATGCCTGGAGCAATCTTGCCTGAAGAATGTTTCAAATTCTGAGAACATATTCTGAAACCAAATTTAATTTTTTAGTGTTCATTTACAGGGACAGTAATACATTTTCTCCTTTCCCTTGTTGGTTTTTCCCTTCCTGTCTGGTAATACTTTGATTCCTTTACTTTTTAATATTCTCTGTCTCTCTTTGTCCCTCTTCCTTTTACTGTCACATTCATAAACAGAGATCTAATCAAAACCAAGAGTACTGATCACTAGCACTGATATGAAAAAAGGGCTTTAAATTCATGATTTTATTTGATCCTTACGAGACTCTTATGAAGTAAATGCTACAGTCATTATTATTCCCATTTTATGAAGGAAGAAATTGATGCTGAGGTAGGACAAGGAATTTGCCCGAGGTCACATAGCAAGTGACCTGAGCCAGGATTCAAACCCCTGTCTTCTTTACTTTAAGTTCAGCATCCACCCTGCTACATATGGGAGAGGCTAATAATAGTTTCTTTACACAGTCAGTCAGTCAATACAATTTATTAAGCACCTACTGTGTGTTAGACACTGTGCTAAGCCCTAAAAAGAAATCTTAGATCTTCCTTTGAGCTCTGACATTCTATGACTAGTTAGATTTAATTGATAAGAGATATAGTACTAAAATAACGTATAGAAATGAATATTATTTGTTTACTCATCACTAATCTAGAGACAGAGCAGGTCTCTTGCAAAATTGAAGAACTCCCCATTCTCCGTTGTTACTTTCAGTAATCCCTGTCCCCCATCCGCATTCTTTATCCAAGGCAACCATCAGATTCATGATTATTCTATACCTTTTCCTCTCTCCTCTCACTCCTAACTGTATCCCATTGCCCCACACTTACAAGATTTTAACTTGCTACTTTACTGAGAAGATTAAAGTCACTGAGGATATCTGAGGTGAATTTTTTCAACTTCATTCTTTCTTCATTCCTCAAAATGAGAAGAATCACTCACTCTCTTTTCTTAACAATATGGTTAGGGAAGGAGAGGCATGACTTTTCCTACAGGCTAATCCCTTAATCTATTACCTTGAAACAATTTATTCTAACATCCTCTAGGACTTTACTCCAACAGTCTTCCCTTCTCATGAGTCTTGATTATTTCTTTTCTTTTCCACAGGCTCTTTTCCATTTACCTACAAAGATGGTCAGGTCCCCCCAATCCTAAAAACAAAACAAAGCAAAAAACTAAAAAAGCTTTTTCCTGACCCTTTTATTCTACATAATTACCTTTCAAAGTATCCTTTAACTGCTAAACTTGCTGGAAAATACCCCTTTCCTTGTTATTCACTTTCTTCTCTGTCTCTCACAATCTCATTTCTACCCTGCCCCCCAACCCCAACCCCAACTCTGCTGAAACTGCTCTCAGATGTCTCCTGTGATTTCTTTGGTTCTTAATTCACTGAATTTTTTTTCAGCCAGTCTTCTATTCTGTTTGACCTCTCTGCAGTTTTTGGTATTGCAGGCTACCTTCTAGTGAATAAACTTTCCTTCTTCAACTTCAGAAACACTAATCTGCTTATCCAATTATTCCAGGTCTTTCACTTCTTCCCAACTCCTTAATGTAGGGAGTTCCTAAGATCTGCCTTTGACACTTATCTCTCACTACCTTCCTCACTTGGCAATTTCATTTACTCCCATTGATTCAACTACTGCCTCTATATAAATTTAAGTCTCTAGCTTTAGTTATTATTCTAAGCTCCAGACCCATATCTCCATTTGGTTTTTCTACCAGTTCCTTCAGTTCAATACAACCAGACAAGTGCCTACTATGTGCAAGACACTCTATTGAGTAGAAGGGATACAGATATAAAACAGCATCAAACCTGAGCCTATTGTATTTCCTCCCTAAAAGTGCACCTGTCTCTGACTTTCATTCACACAATCTCCCATTTTCAAAACTTTAGGGTTATTTTTGACTCTTCCCTTTCCTTCTCCTTTTTTTTAAACCATGATTTTTGAATTTTAATGGTGTGTGTTATTTTACATTCCCCTTTTTAATTTATTTTATTTTTAATTTATGAAATAAAATAAGTATTTGCATAACATAGTACAATAAAAAAGATGATTGCACATGAAACTGCCAATTTACTATGCACATCTTGCTATTCGTTTCAAATGTACAACAAAATTATCATGTAAATTTTTTTTGTCCCCTTTTTTTCCTACCCTCTCAGCTCTAGAGATGGTTACCATTACACACAAATATATATATATATATATATATATATATATATATGTATGTATACATATACATACATACATATATATGATATATGTATACATGCAAAATTATTCTATACATACTTCTATTTATCAGTTCTTTCTCTGAATGTAGATATGTCCTCTATAGTTAATTTAGGTATTTATAATAGATAAATTTCCCCTCCTTTCTTATCAAAACAGTTATGAAGTCCTATCAATTCCACCTTACAATAAATTTCACTTGTCTTCTCTTCTGTCTTCTTATTGTCACCACCCTAGTAAAGACCTGCATTACTGCCTGCTGGACTTTTGTAATTATCTCCTAACAGACCTTCCCACCTTTTTTAGCTTTTTCTTGCAAGCCATACTTCCTGTGACTATAAGAAGTCTGTGTTGTGTATGGATCTAGTCTTGCCAAATTTCTCTATTCAAAACTCTTCAATGGTTCCCTCTTGCCCCCTGAATAAAGTTCAATTTCTGCTACATGGTATGTAAGGGTCCTACTATTTGGGACCATCCTAGCTTTTCAGTCTAGTCTTCACATTATTCCCATACATGCATTCTTCATTCCAGCCAAACAATTGGCTTTGTTAAGATGGGTTCTGTTGCCTTCATCAAAGGAAGTGTGGTGGAAATTTCAAGTAATTATATAAGCACCAGTGAGTGAGAGACTGGAAGAAAAGGTTACTTACCTTTTCAGGATCAAATCATTCCATATAGATGGATATCTAACACTTGTGCAAATGTTTGGCAAACTTCCACATGTATCTTTTGAAAAGAGATAAATGAAGTAATTGCCATAATATGGTTTTAAAAATCAAATACATTTCTGGAGACAGCTTTAGAGTTTCTTCAGTAATTACACTTGATGAGTACTTGCAAAAAAGTTGCATATTAATTCCCCTAAATATTGATATGATATGATATGATATATGATATAGTATGATATGCCATGCCATAACATATCATAACACAACACAACATAATATAATTATGATATGATATGATATGACATGATATAATATAATATAACATAACATGACATGACATAACATACATAACATAACATAACATAACATAACATAACATAACATAATAATATAATACAATACAATACAATACAATACAATACAATACAATATAACATAATATAAACTCATTCCCCACACATTGTAGTGTCTATCTCCAACATTGTTAAGGAACAGTATTGTTATGCTGAACAGCTGAAGCCATTTTAATTTATGCTACTGATTAAATAGTGGGGATCTGGTGAATTGGAGTGGGATGGATTGCAATTGGAATATTGGTTAGTAATTTTAATGATCTCATGCTGCTCCATGACACAAAAATCCATCTTTTTTAATACGAGCATTCCCCAGTGATGCTAAAGAATGGTGAAAATGGAATAAAATAATCTCAAAAGAATCAAAAACTTGGGTGATCCAAAAGATGGTGGAGAAACATGGTGAGTACAAGCAGGAAGCAGAGTATTGCCAATGATGGATTGAGTGCAAGGATTGATATAAAAATATCATTATGGAAATGCATAATTAGAAAAGGAACCAGGCTAACCATCAAGTGAGAGTGAGAGATAATAAATGGACAGTCAAAGTGCTGTCTTGGTACCTACAAAATTTTAAAAGGCTTTGAGCAATGTCATCCACACATTGCATAGAAACTCAATTGAGGAAGATTATAGGAAAATTTGGGAAAAAATTAGAGAATAGGAAGACCTGAATGGCTACTGATCTGTATAAGTGTAGAGATACCCCATAGGATGAGATCAGAACGTACTGAAGTATCAAATTATTAAATAGTTGCGATAGCAAGTGAACTTTTTTTTTTACACTTACAGAGGTGCTTAGAACTGTGTTTACAATCTGAGCAAATGTTTTTTCAGGTGTAGGATACTTTATCAGAAAGGACCATGGATTGATTCTCTGCTTCCCTAATGGGCGTGCAATATCTAGCAATCCCCTTAGACTTGTAAGATTTCCTTAGAAACTTGACATCCTTAGCAGTTGTTCTTTAGTTGTAATTAAAAAGAGGCCTTGGGCTCTTTGGTGAAGGTATCATCACTGCCTCTCCTCCTCCTGAACCACCACTGTTCACTGTCACTGAGGAATAAGTCTGTCAGGAAGCTGCTCCACTGCCATGGCATTCAAAAACACTTGACAAGACCCTTGTGGAGCCCAAAGTGGCCATTCACTGGATCCAGATCACTCTCACCAGCAGCAATGTGAAATCCCTTGAGAAAGTGTGTGCTGACCTAATTAGAGGAGCCAAAGAAAAGAACTTGAAAGTGAAGGGAATTGTTCGAATGCCCACTAAGACACTTCTAATCACAGCTAGAAAAAATCCTTGCGGTGAAGGTTCAAAGACTTGGGATCGGTTCCAGATGAGAATTCACTAAGGCCTTATTGATTTGCACAATCCTGAAATTGTTAAACAGATCATTTCTATCAACATTGAACCCAGGTGTAGAAGTTGAAGTCACCATTGCAGATGCCTAACCAATCATTTCTTTTAATAAATTGACTGCAACTATTAAAAAAAAAAGGCCTTGGGACAGGGTGGGGAGAAGAGGTCACAGGTTTGTTCTCAGATATCCCTTCTTTCCCTACTGATATCCAAGTGGGGAAAGTTAGGTGAAAATGACATTAAAATTCTGGCTGAACCTTCTATAGAAGTGAAATTGGGAAAGGATCTGAGCCAGATCATTTTGAAATGAATGTTTCATACTTGGCCCCAACCTACCTTTCTAGATTATTTACTCATCATTCCTCTTCCTGCGCACTATGGTATAGACAAACTGGCCTTCTTTTTGTTCCTCGTACATGTCAATATATCCCATCTCTGTTCTTTTGTGGTATTCTCAGGCCTAGAATGTATTCCCCCCTCACATCAGAATCCCTAGAATTCAAGACTTTGCTCAAGCACTACCTTTTATATGTTTTTTTTCTGATCTCATAGTTGCAAGTGCCCTTTCCCACAAAATCAACTTGTAATTAATTTGTATAGACCTATATATGTGATGTGCTGTCCTCATTTAAAGGTAAGCTACTTGAGGACAAGGATCATTCATATTTTTACCTTTTTATCACCAGTGTCTAGTGATAAAGAGCCTGGCATAGTAGATACTCAATAAATGCTTATCAATTGATCAATATGTATAAATGTGGATGTACGCACATATGTGAAATGCATCCAAGTGATGAGACTTCCATGCTGGCATTGATGATGTCTCTAATAAAAATAAAATACCCTAATTTCTCTTTTAACACTTCATTGAAAATCACTGGTTGATTCTTGGCCAAGTCACAGACCTGGGCTCCCCACTTGGTGAAAAGCCAAGAAATATCATGGAAAAAGAGCTGAATTTGAAGTTAACAGACCTAGGTACAAATCACAGCTCTGTTACTTATATTTGCATGACTTTGAGTAATTTACAACCTTACTTTCCTCATTAAAGTGGGAGTTGCATGGTTCCTTCCATTAGTTCTAATTCTTCTTTACATTATGACTAATATGAAAATATGCTTAATATGAATGTATAAGTAAAGCCTATATCAGATTACATGCTGTCTTGGGGAGGGGGAAAGAAAGGGAGGGGGAGAAAATTCAAAACTCAAAATCTTATGGAAGTGAATGTTGAAAACTAAAAATAAATTATTTAAAAAAATAAAGTGGGAGTTGGACTGAATTATCTCTTGGGTTCATTCTTATCCACAATCTATGATGTCATGACCTTGTCCTTAAAAGTGAGAATGAGGAGAACACAAGCAGGGAGGTCAGATAGAGGGAAGATGGCCAGACTCAATTCCTTGGGAGGAACACAAGCAGCTATGAACCCACTCTAGGGGCCATTGGTTCCAGGGAACTATGTGTACCAGACAACATATGACCACAGTACATGGAGGCCGTGGTTATATAGAGAAGAGTTTCTGAGCCAAGGCGAG